TTCTGAATAAACACATTTTACCATTGACCAAATGTATGTTTTCACTGAATATTGACTATGGTTGCATATCATGGTTCAATGTGAGCGATCAAAGTTTACGTGATGTTGAATACATTTTGGCATGTCATTTGGTGCTGAAGTTTGCCCTCACTTTTCAACAGATTTGAAATGCGCTCTTTTGCAAAGAAGTATTCGCAGTTGAATATTTAAATAGCATGTCAGGTTTTCATTGTCTCGCCAATTTCAGATTCATCGTTTTAGATTATCTTATTTAAAGAGATAATTTAATTGAGCTAGACAATGTTCGGAGTTTGTAGACTGTCTGCAGAAAATCGTGTAGTCCGGTTTCATAGTACTTGGTACAAGTCAGTATGTTATACTATCAATCTCGAAGAAACCAATACTCCTCGTGTAATTCAAACTCATATCAGTCAATTTCGCAGTATGAAAATTTGCTGCTACGTTACAGTAAACACAACTAACATCTTGTATTACAAGGATGTTTATATTTATTGATCAAAGTACAATTGTTGATGTCCTGTTTGTCTAGGAATTAAATACTGATGGAATTCCATCAATCAGCTATTCTACCTTTACTACTTATCAGTAACTAGTTATTATGAACTAATGATTCGCTTGTACTTGTTCACTGCTTGATTTTCAATTTCAAATACAATACTTCCGTTCGTGCTGATCTACCTGTTCTTAGTTTTATTGCATTATTCCTGGGATTCCTAGTTTGTACCACGATTGAAATACTCCCAATCATCACATTTGCGTCCCAATGGAGCCTGTGATAGAACGGTTGAACATACACTCAGATTTGATGCTTTTGCGAATTACATGGAAAGGTTGGAAATCTGGATTATAACCAAGGACGTAGTTGAGGATATCAATATGGTGGCTCATTTCCTTTCATTCATCCGAAAAGAAGCACGCAGCTAAATGAAGACATTTGCATCTACTGACAAGCCGATTTCTCTTCGTTATGCAACTCTGAAGCAACTGCTACTGGACCATATATATTATACAAATTTCGAGGCCGTTAAAAGCGGAAATGTTCCTGAAATGATTCGTCAGAACATCAGGAGTCCCACAACATCACGCCGTCACAGTGCAGTGCGTAATCGAGCTTATTTAGATAACAGATCATTGAGTTGTGAGACAGTTCACAAAGATAAGCGCATGTTTGGTAAATGTTTGTTCTGTGGCATGTTTCACTCACATCATTCATGTGAGATTGGACACATTCAGTTAGTTTGTAGTACTGCTGTTCATTTTTCTGCAACTTACGCTAAATTCTTTAAGTGTGATCCTACTTAGTTGTGAATTTCTAATGATAGTTTATCTTTGTACATGATTTCGTAAAGCAATATACAGTCATATGGCGATCCAGACTTAAATGAGACTCTGAATGATTATGAGACAAAAGTTTCTAATCAATCAACTTCTTATCGAATTTCTCATGTTATCGCACCAGATTCAATTTGTCCCGATGATTCACATATTTCTGAAAGCAGCAGGACCCGACAACATACCAGCTGAAGCACTGAAATCAGACGTCGAAGTAACCACAAGCATGCTTTACCCTCTATTAAAAAGATTTGGGAGGAGGAACAAGTGCCTATGGACTGGAAAGAAGGGCACCTAGTCAAGATTCGAAAGAAAGGAGATCTGAGCAAATGTAAAAACTACAGAGGCATTACACTACTGTCAATACCAGGGAAAGTCTTCAACAGAGTTTTGCTGAACCGGATGAAGGATGCAGTAGACGCCCAACTTCGAGATCAACAAGCTGGATTCCGGAAGAATCGGTCGTGTACAGGCCAAATTGCGACACTAAGGATCATCCTCGAACAATCAGTTGAGTGGAACTCGCCACTCTACATCAACTTCATTGATTATGAAAAGGCATTCGACAGTGTAGATAGGAGGACATTATGGAAACTTCTTCGACACTACGGAGTTCCTGAGAAGATTGTCAATATCATCCGGAACTCATATGACGGACTACAATGCAAAGTCGTGCATGGAGGACAGCTGACAGATGCATTCCAAGTAAGGACCGGAGTCAGACGATGCTGTTTACTCTCTCCCTTCCTCTTTCTTCTGGTGGTCGACTGGATTATGAGTATCTCGACATCTGAAGGAAAACACGGAATATAATGGACAGCTCAAAATCAGTTAGACGATTTGGACTTCGCAGATGACCTAGCCCTCCTATCGCATACACACGAACAGATGCAGATAAAGACAGCAAGTGTAGCAGCAGTCTCTGCATCAGTAGGCCTCAGTATACAAAAAGGAAAACCAAGGTCCTCAAATTCAAAGCGGAGAACAGCAACCCAATCGCTCTTGATGGCGAAACTCTGAAAGATGTAGAATCCTTCACATATCTGGGAAGTATAATCGATGAACAAGTAGGCTGCAGATGTAAAGGCAAGAATTGGTAAAGCAAGGACAGCATTCTTACAATTGAAGAACATATGTAACTCAAAACAACTTTCAACCAATATCAATGTGAGAATCTTCAATACGAACGTCAAGGCAGTTCTACTGTATGGAGCTGAAAATTGGAGAACTACAACAACCACCATCAAGAAGGTACAAGTATTTATAAATAGCTGTCTACGCAAGATACTCAACATCCATTGGCCGGATACCATCAGCAACAACCTTCTGTGGGAGAGAACAAACCAACTTCCAGCTGTAGAAGAAATTATGAAAAGACGATGGAAATGGATAGGACATACATTACGCAAATCGTCAAACTGCATCACGAAGGCAAGCCCTAACTTGGAATCCTGAGGGAAGCGGAAAAGAGGAAGGCCGAAGAACACATTACGTCGGATAATAGAAGCAGATATGAAAAGGATGAATTACAACTGGAAGGAGCTGGAAAGGATTGCCCAGGACAGGGTTGGATGGAGAATGCTGGTGAGCGGCCTATGCTCCTTCACGAGGAGTAACAGGCGTAAGTAAGTACGTAAGTAATGTCGAGTGAATCTAATCATGGGCGAAATCCTTGTGCAGTTCAGACGAACGCTGATTTTTCTAATGATACATTACTCACCAATGAAATTCATAATAAATTTGAAGAAAGTATTTCAGAATAATCAAATCAAATGTTCAGCGTGCAATAATCACATCACACTTGACGGAGAAGCTTTGAAGGGTGTAAATATCTTCACAAATCTGTGCAGCATCACTGATGAACACGGTGAAGTTGACGCAGACGTGAAGGCGTGGATCGGCAAAGTAAGAGCAGCATATTTACAAATGAAGAACATCTGGAAGTCAAAACAACTGTCTGTCAACAAACATCAAGGTCGAAATTTTCAATACAAATGTCAAAACAGTTCTACTGTATAGGGCGGAAACCTGGAGAACTACGTAAGCCATCATCCAGAAGATACAAGTGTTGATTAACAGTTGTCTACACAAAATACTTCGGACTCGTCTGCAAGACACTATCAGCAACAACCTACTGTGGGAGAGAACAAACCAGATACTAGCAGAGGAGGAAATCAAGAAGAAACGCTGGAAGTGTATAGATCACACATTGAGGAAAGCACCTAGATGTGTCGCAAGACGAGCCTTCACTTGGCATTTTCAAGGCCAGTTGGGAAGATGACGACCGAAGAACACAATTCGCTGAAACATAAAGACAGAGATGATGCTAATAACTGTGAAGCAGATACATGTTTTTTTTCATTTTGATTGTATTGCCGGTGAATTAATCGTGGATGAATCACATTTGGTAATTACACATAACAATACATATTTTTCTGTGTATCATAATGTGAAAAGGAATTATTGTCGTATTTTTTATGCACGTCAAATACACATGATGGAAATCCTCAAATTATATGTTATTGTCTGTCGCCAGACGCTCACTTATATCAATCAATGCGTGAGATATGAGATGATAATAAGAATTGAGAAAGTCAAATTGGCCCAGACATTGAGACGCACGTAGCCCACATTCTTTCGTGAGGGAGGATACTGTTGAAAAAATCTATGATTCAAATTCTAGTTATCCGTAGTTGTACCACACAACTGACATGTTGATTGTATATAATTACAGGAGAAAGGTGATTCCGTTCCAATTTCAGTTTCTAATTCTAATACTAGTGAGTACATTCTATATAGTGAAGAGTTTTATATTCCGTACACTGTCGGACAGATATAGGATGAAATTATGAAAAATACATATAACTGGTTACTGGAACTTAGACTTCAATTTAAGCTGTGTTAGATATAGTGTGATTGTATGAATTAATGATTCCTTTATAACTTGACGACTAGTTGATTTGACATTTCACATACATTACATTCGATCATATTCATCTAATACAACTTGGTTAATTTGTAATATTTTTGGCAATGCTAATTTGTACCATTATTCAATTACATCTAATTATCATATTTCTTTATAAAAGTAAATATATTTAATAGGTAATTAGACAAACTTCATTGATTGAAATCATAGGTCAGTTGAAGCTAGAACACCATGGAAAACCTGGGAGCACTGTACGGCCGGTTCGTCCTAGTATGGGACTCCTCAGCAGTGCTCATTCACGATCCCGCACCCCGCCATATCCGGACGCAGGACCTATGAGTCTCGGATCAGGCGCTTAACCAACTAGACCACTGAGCCGCCACCCAGCGATGTTAATGTCTAACTTCAACCAATTACGAAGTTGCGCCACCGTACACCATTGTCTTCAGTGAGTCCTGAGTTAGAATCTCGCGAGGTGCCGGATTGTGGATGCGCACTGCTGAGGAGTGTCGTACTAGGATGAAATGGCCATTCTATGTTTTCAGGTTTCTCATTATAATCTAGATTCAATTGACTCACGATTTCAATCAATTAAATTTCTAATATCTTCACAAAACGTTTCTGATAATTAGATAAACTATTCAACTATATAATTCATATGAAAATAGATGTGATAACATTCAGTATAGAATAGTTATATTCACAGATATCTTAACATTTATTCATTGAAATGATTATATTTACACATTCTATTCATTCTATCTAATAGATAGTATTGGCATTCATTTCTGTTAATACTCTTCTTATTATTATCATCATAATAATAAGAAATAGTTTCATTTAATTTAGGCGCTAAAACTAAATTGTCACATTTCAATATACAATGAATACAATTCTCTTGTTGTTGTCGTTGGTGTTGTTTAATAAATAGATGAATATTTTCATTGATTGTATTAGAGTATAACATACAATTATGACGGAATGTATCATATGATCTTTGAATTGGATACATTTTCGTATGATATCTGAAATACGGTGAATATGGATTATTGATCATTGAATTTCACATGAATTCATTTAAACAAATCTCATTTATATAAATTGGATTCAATAAAAGAGTTTGATTTGAATTGAATGATTTCTGATCACGATTATCATTATGATTATGATTATCATTTTGAAGAAATGATGTTATTGTACAATTAGAATTATTACTATCATAAATTGAATTGATGATAGATTGAAAAGGATCTTGTTTTAATTCACAACAATTATATACATAACTATCATGATCATTATTGGTTTGATTAGGTAGAATTAAAAGTTTTCTATTTGAACACGTGGAACATTTTGATTCAGATTGAATATTGAAATTGTTGTTTAACTGATGTTGACAAGTATTATCTAAGTTACATAACAAAACACAAACACACGTACACACACACACACCACGTAATTAAACATCATAAACTGACTTTCATCAAAAAATCTATCAAAAACGAGAATAGTTTGATCAAGCTATATATTCAATTGTTGATAATGAATAATAAGACATTCTGGGGAGACTATAATTTATGAATGAACCAATCAGCTATATGATAATAGGTCTCGGATTTTGCCGCGAAATTCACCCCATTCATTTGGGCAAGTAGTGTCTTGGCGTTATAGCTGATGTCGATTCGTGATGAAAACACTAAATCTAATTTCTAACATTAACCGTTAATTGTAAATTATAATTCGAATTCTTCACACAGCTTTGTAACCTCCATTTGGTCTTAGTTATTAGCTGAACACTCTCAAAGTCACTTTAGTGTTTGCTCAACGGTCGTCCATAAATTACAGTCTCATTGATAATCTTAGTTAGATGCAAAATATTTCATATAGTTAGGTCTGTTTTTGAATTCAATTTAAGAAGGAACAATGATAATACAGCAGTTGTTTTAAATGTATACTTAGTAAATAGAGGAGATCAGTATACTGACACCAATGTATCAGCTGTTAATTCATCTCTGATTCATCGATTTAGAGTAATTATTAACTTCTTGATTCTTCTTGCTATTGTAATTTATGTATAAATAAAATCATAGTGATGTAATACATGACATTATTATGAACAACATCTAGCGTCTTTCCTTTCCGTACTCAATCATACTCTGAGGTAAATCTACATCGACAATTGATACAACTGTAGAAGTTGATCAGTCTAAGAGTGCTCATTTCAAAGTTATAAAAACGTTTACTAACTGGTTTTCTACATCAGAAGTCCACGTAAATGCTTTCTTCAGTAAAATATGACATCAAGGAATTTCGTGGTTTATGTTAAAAACTAATAATAGTCAGATAACTAATTAAATCAAGAAGTTTTAGATGCCAGTTTTACCGTGATATGAAATTCCTCAACAACACATATTCTTGAAACCATCACAGATGGAACTTGGAACTTCTGAGTCACTCATAGAAGGATTACCTTTTATAACCTTAGGTCAGGATGAAACGTTTTATGTACTGAACAGTTGTTTTATATTAGCACAAAACTTCACAGTGGAGAGTAAATCATGTGTCATCACGTTTATTGAAGAGTGACTAACATTAGACAACTTAGAAAAAATTAAAACTAATGTCTCGTCCAGTTTAGGATTCACTAGATGAATATACTCACATCCTAGTGCAGTTGTTGACATCTGAACTTGAAATAATGAACTTTTTCTCAAAACTCTGATGTTTGGTTCATAGAATGTCTGAGTTTAGATTGTCACTTACTTATTGATTGAGAACACTTGCTCCGAAATACATGTACATACAACTGAGGAATCCAGAATGGGACGAAATAGGACTACTAGATTCTACTAGTATTTATAATTAGCTTTTCCAAAAAATTTTTTGCAATGGCTATATCGAGACAATTCTAACAGGACTTACATATATCAACAAAGGATGATTAAAATTCAGTCTTAAATATCAACAACAGTAATAATAAAATCTCCGCTAATATTAGTACTACACTCTTCGGTTGATGATTTAAACTTTAGTCGATGTTTGACAAAGTGCGACATGATTTCATCACCATTGGTGACCTTGCTGCAATGATCTGCATATTTGAAATCTATAGTTTACTAATTCTTGCTAGGCTTTCAGAAATACTTCTATATTTGTTAGGTTCGTTAACTTTGAGGATACTACTGATTCGACTTATTCGGAACGGAACGAAGGCTCAGGATTCAGAGATTCAATAGACTATTCTGATCCGTTGTCTTCGACTCAGCTAACTCGATCAAGAAGTCTTGGTAAGGGGTAGAAAGTGTATTCTACAAGCAACAGCAGATACCAAGCCAGGCAAGCAAATCAGATCAAGCATACAAGTCAAGCGTATTTATACAAATATATATTGATTTTGTCATAGGAAATTTTTAAACAATAATCAATGAATCATCAATTGTCTGCTATTTAAAAGTTTAATCGACAAGTTCATCAACTGACTGCCATTCAAATATTTAAACATTTAATCGATATGATAAAATTACAAAATATGAGCTTGGGGATATATCGGCCCCAACAATATTCCAGTTCCTTTTGAAATTAGAATTATTTTTAGAATAAATTGTGTTTATTTAGAAAAACCGAAAATGTCGCACTATAATTTTGTCAGCAAGATGGTTAATAACCAGCAGTGGAATTTAGGATGCTTGTTTCCTACTATGTGAGATTTGTCAGCTGCATGTACCTGCATCTCAGTGTTGATGTTTACTCCGGGATTCGAACTCAGTAGTGTTCACTTGGAACTCCACCGTGTTGTAAGAATTAGGTACTGGATGCTGATAGCCACCTGCTTGTGCAATAGAATGGAGTTTAAAACCGTTTGATATCCATTTTTGCTCATAGTTGTTAAATCTAAAGCCAATTCATGATACAAACTACAAATTGTGAACATTCACTGTAATCATCGTCCACTGAGCTACTCATTCCTGTTAGCCACCTGTTTGTGCAATGGAATGAAGTTTTAAATCACTTGATATCCATCTTTGCTTATAAAGCTAGTGATTTAAGGCAATATTGAGATAATCCTCACAGGATGCACATATGTCAACAAGAGACTGATCAATTACAGTCCTAAACAACAATGGAAAATACAAGCAAAAGGTATGAAGAGTATTTACACTGTGAACATTTACTGTAATCTGCGCGTAGGTGTGTGTACATTTCTTATCCCATTACTCACCACATCTCTGTAACTTACTTTTGTGCAAGTATAAATATTGATTAACGCTTGGTTGAATGGGAGTTACGATACCAGCCATCTCCAATCTGAATCCTTTCTCTTCTCTTATTCCATTCGCTTTATATACAAAATATATGTATTCACAAGTCCATTCTCGTTATTTGACTTATTCAATTCCATTAGTGAGTAACACGATATAAGGCGATGATTATATAAGACGATAGGCGATAACAGACATTCAAACGATCGGATAAAAGTCAGAACACGGGCCACTAAAACAAACTATCATTGGAAATCATCAACTGCGTAGGATCAGAACTACACAATTGACTGTTAGCTGCAGAATAATGAACATTTAAAATTACGAAATACACATGAATGATTTGCGTGGAACTTGCCATACAACAAACATTTACCAAACATGCCGTTATCTTTGTGAACTGTCTCACAACTCAATGAATCATTTCAGGAACATTTCAGCTTTTAACGCATTCGAAATTTCTATACTTTATATGGTCTAATAGCAGTTGCTTTAGAGTTGCATAACGAAGAGAAATCGGCTTGTTAGTAGATGCAAATGTCTTCATTTAGCTGCATGTTGACATCCTCAACTACGTCCTTGGTTATAGTCCAGATTTCCAACCTTTCCATGTAATTCGCAAAAGCATCAAATCTGAGTGTATGTTCAACCGTTCTATCACAGGCTCCATTGGGACGCAAATGTGATGATTGGGAGTATTTCAATCGTGGTACAAACTAGGAATCCCAGGAATAATGCAATAAAACCAAGAACAGGTAGATCAGCACGAACGAAAGTATTGTATTTGGAATTCGAAATGAAGCAGTGAACAAGTACAAGGGAATCATTAGTTCATAATAACTAGTTACTGATAAGTAGTAAAGGTAGAATAGCTGATAGATGGAATTCCATCAGTATTTAATTCCTAGACAAACAGGACATCAACAATTGTGCTTTGATCAATAAATATAAACATATCTGTACTACAAGATGTCAGTTGTGTTTACTGTAACGTAGCAGCAAATTTTCATACTGCGAAATTGACTGACATGAGTTTGAATTACACGAGGAGTATTGGTTTCTTCAAGATTGAGTGTATAACATACTGACTAGTACCAACTACTATGAAACCGGACCATACGATTTTCTGCAGACAGTGCACAAACTCCGAACATTGTCTAGCTCGATTAAATTATCTCCTTAACAAAATCATCCAATAGGATGAATCTGAAATTGGCGAGACAATGCAAACCTGACATGCTATTTAAATATTCAACTGCGAATACTTCTTTGCAAAAGAGCGCATTTCAAATCTGTTGAAAAGTGAGGGCGAACTTCAGCACCAAATGACATGCCAAAATGTATTCAACATCACGTAAACTTTGATCGCTCACATTGAACCATGATATGCAACCATATTCAATATTCAGTGAAAACATACATTTGGTCAATAGTAAAATGTGTTTATTCAGAATATCGGATGAGGATGAGTTTATCCGCCACAGTGATTGGTATAAAATGGAACACAGAACGTGATGTGGATTTTGTCACCAGGATGATTCACCACAGTCTCATAGACCGATATACACAGGAAGTAATAACTAGTCGAGTCTCAAAGAATCAGGATCAATAATGCGCGATCCATAGATTGATAAATTAAGGAAGTGAGAGCTAGATGATTCTGTGAGGAAACAACCACTAAACTCATCTGAAATGAGACGGTCAATGGCTACAGTGTTTATTCATCGATGGAGCACAGCCTTCTATGAATTGACAGCCAAGAGATTTGTTTTCACTTCATTTTGTTTATAGAAAGTAGTAATCTTTTGAAAAATGAGAATTTCACTCATCTTTTTTCTGAACGTGTGGCTAATTATCAAGTTATTATTAGAAGTCGTTGTTTTTTTGCTCTAAATAAGATTCATATTACACCCACTATACATAATAGATGATATGCACTAATACTATATTATTTGATTAATGAGATGGTGTGAGGTGACTGACGACAACACAGTTCTAATCATTGATATTTCTGTCAATAACTGAGGTCAACAGAAATATGTTTTTTGTTATTTAGATGGTCAGATAATTGACACTGAGATTAAAGAAGTGATAATATATTTTACTTTAAATATTTGCACACAATGTAACAGCAATGATAGAATTTGATTTAATGTTATCGTCGATAAAGGGAATCGGACAGAATTCCTGATTTTTCAAATCTTATTGCTGAATGCGCAGCATTCAAAAGCCATTGCATCAGTAGTCTGATTAGAGAAAGTTGATCAAACGAGGTACATCTTAAAGTTGGAACATTTCATTTCCGAGTGCGTGCAACCGTTTTCGTAGTTCTGCTTCGCAGTATGTTTTAGCTTTATGTCGGTCTTTGTGAAATGAACACTACACTCCATTTTTCTTCTATTTTTTATCTTCGAACAATCCTTCACTCAACATCCATTGAAACTTAGACACTAAGCCCTACAGCTGAGGGTGCATCGATCGATTGGATCCTCATTAACAGTCAGTTATGTGCTATTAGATTAGAAAGTTCCATCAAAGTGAGAAATCGGTGTGAGAATTTATGTTTTTTATTCATCTCCGCCTATCGTCTGACAGATTTCAGCTCGGATGCGATCAAAGATGGGTTTTATTACCAGCTAACAACCCTTCTACAGATATTGCTGTCAACGCCATAGATCTGAATGCTTAGGTTGGGCGCCTAGACTCAGAAGAGTAATTTAGGTGACCATTGAGGACTGTTCCGTAGTGAAATCGGGCAAAGCTTGAGTAAGGACTGAAAGAAAGCTGCAAAGGTCTGACCTGTGTTGGTCCGAGAGATTGTGCGACACATTGGCTAGAGACGTTATCAGATATGGCTCGAAATAAAAGCCAGTGGCGATCCTGCTGTAACTTTATTTTACTTTCTTAATAGAAATGACACAACTTTTTTAAGTGGAAGAATTCTCTGTAATTGAACTTTTGCTGATTTGACTATCTCTCCAATTATTATCACTTCACTAAACTACACTTTACTTTGTTCGTTTTATTCCTTTTTCCTTATACGCACCTTACATTATTTATCTCTTCACATTCTCATTATTATTGTATGGCGCATGTATATGTGATGCCCCTTTGTGCCAGTATTTATATGTTCAAATAAATAACTATACATACATTTGGTTACTGTTTTTGGTCCGATGAATCAATATTCACTTGGACGATGTCTCCTCAATTCACATCATTATTTAATTATCATTAATGTTTTTATACGATTAATTAACTAAGCCAATATATTAAAAAAGAACACAGTTAATCAATGACTCATCAATTATTAGAAACCGGAAAACATTTAACACATGTAACTGTAAGTGGCTATCAGGACATAGTAGTTAAGTGGATAAAATGATAGCGTTTGAAGCGATTCAACCGCTCGCCAGTATTCACCT